GCCTGATGCCACAAGATATCGAATGTTGCGGGTGTATTTTTACAGTTTATTCTTGTATAAACTCTACAATACTCTGTTGATTGCAGACATATAATTGCATCCTCAATATCTCACGTCGGCAACATATACATATTCTCACTGTAATATGTTCTTAAATACGAAATTACAATTTTAAATATACATCGAATTTCAGTTGTATGTTCCATAACTATCTAACATCACTTATTTATTTATTGGTGAAATTACAGGCACACGAGACTCGTTAACTTACGTCTCAGGGTGATGGGCGCAGTGACAGTGCCCCTCAGATCTTTGCGATTTAAAGCACTGAGTGGCACTGCGTCTGTTATGGACAGGCGTGTCTTGTGTGTGTTGCTGTGACTTGTTAGTTCGGTTCGTCATTTGGTATTATACATTTTTTTTTTGTTAAGATACATTTTGGTGGTTGTTGGAAATGCATTTCTCTTATAACTTAATTCTAATTTATGGAAAGACTTTTATTAATTTTTATCTAGAGATGCGTGTTTCGAACTTAAGAATCTGGAATGATGACAGTTTTATTTATGATTGTTTATTATTAAAATTACTTTAACTACATTTTTTTTTAGTTTCCTACCAAAAATCAGTTGTTGTAGGATACGTACCAGTTCGCTTTCTTTTTCTTAAGTTTCGAATTTGACACAATTGTAGTACTTGGTTTGTTCCGTCTAACCTATATGAAAAATTTTATGCGGCATTTTTTCTCAAACCAATGTTTACAATAGCGGCGTTCGAAATCTGAAAATTGAATCCATGTTGAATGAATGCAGTAGGGTGGCGATTTATTGAACAAAATGAACGTACAGAAGATATTTCGTCTATTTCTTTTGGCTTACATGAGTTCAAGTTAGTACGTATGTCTTTATCAGTGCATTTCGTTGATATAATTTTACCGTTGTTGCTCCTTCTCGGGGAGGCCAGCAGCGATTTTTTTTTTACCTTTGACTTTGACTTTTACATCCAAAAAACAGATTTCTAGTATTTTTTATTGAAAGAGAAAATATGATAATGTTTGCGGCAATATATATGAGCAAGTTATTTTTTTTTTTAGTCTTTTTATGTTGAACGTCGAATGCTCTTTTACTGTTTTGGAGAAATCAAAAGTCATAGGTATCTCGACATGGATGCTTGCAGTGAAATATTAAAGATATATATTTTTTCAAGTTTATTATTAAAAAAAATTCAAGATCCGCAAAATGTAATATTGATTTAATGCAGGAAATGGCTCGAGAATACCTCTCAAATATACTATTCATTATTAATTGTAATGCAATTAGAATTTGGCCGTTACCTTCATAAATATCTGTTAAGAGAGAAAATGTTTTGTTAGACATTGTGAATAATACAATTGTTTTGATGTTAATTGAAATAAACATTATTTAGGGCAACGTCTAATGTATTTAAATCATATTTCAGGCAGGTGTAGTCCGTAATACGCATTGATTTATTCTGTTATATTTTATTTACATTATATTGTGTTATATCAAAGAAAACAATTAAACTAATCATAATTCTGTTAGACTGTTCGATGATTTTTGCTTTGAATTGTTTTTGGATGGTAATGGACCATGTATGCCTCTGAATCGATCCACAAATCGGATCGTATATTTTTGAATAAAATTGATCTCATAAACATCGTTTCAAAAATAATTTCGACAAAAAAATTATAATTTTGACAGCCTTGAGGCTGATACTAGCCAGTGAGAAAAGACGTTCAGATGGCACAGAAGTAGCGACAATCGTCAAATGTTCTAGATTTATTGTACTTAGACGTTGCCAAACTACTTTTCTTGCACACCAATATAAAATAAGGGTTCAGAAAGAGACAACTTTTACCGCAATGTACCGCAACTACATTTTCAGTGAGTTACGTATTTATGGTTAAAATAACATTTGCATTGAGTATACTGGCTTCATTGGTGCATAAAATGTTTATTATGTTATAACTTGGAAACTTGACACGTAAGCAAATCACAGTACGTTTCGTGATTTACATAGATGTCGCTATTGACTTATCGACTTTGATAGAAACCAATGCCAGAGTTCTGATCCAGATTCCGGTTTCAAAGTTTCTATAAAATTCTTACTTTTCTACTTCAAAATGAAAGAATCATCAATATCTAAGAACTTCCAGAGTTCTGTATTGCAACAATGTAATGCACTTAGGAAAGTTCCAGTGAGGTTGAAACTGGTTCAATAGAAGATTTTTTTATAATACGAAGTGACGGGACGAACAAGTCGTGCGCCTGACAGTAAGCGACACGATTGTCCGTGACAGTTTCAGTGCCATTTAGAGCTTTAAAACACAAAAATCTGAGGAGTACTGCCGCTTATCACTCTAAGACATAAGTTGATAAGTCTCATGTACCTGCAATTTCACCAGCACCCTTACCCTTCAAAACCGAAACGCAGTAATGCTTATATTACTGCTTGGCGGCAGAAATAGGTAAGGTGACAGGTAAGTATACCTGCACGAACTCTCACAAGAAAGTCCACAGCTACAAAAATATAGCATTCTTTAAAGTATTATGTAATAAAAATATTTTACTATAATAATCTCAGGCAAAAGATTGGGAGATAAAATCTCAAATTTGGTTAGACCATAGCACAGGTCTAGTCTAGTCGAGTATTAGTAATGCTCATATTACTGCTTGGCGGCAGAAATAGATAAGTGGCATTACTTCCCTAGATGAACTCTACTGCTACTATAATAATATATTGGAGCTCTGCAGCCTCAATAATTTGAGTGATGCAACACTTCGATCTACATATTAAACTATATTATACATTATTTATACATTTTTACAAAATCTTAAATAGACAATCTTTAATAATATTTGTATGCAATAAACAAACATATGTACGCGCGATATATTTTTATTTAGGAATAAATCTATTATTAATTGATTATAGTTAACAAATTATAATGTGAAATTGTCAAATTTATAACATAAAGCACTAGGCCTCGTCAATTTACTATTACAACATTATTTTTACAAAATTGATACACAATTATGAATAAAGGCCACAAAGAAGCATGTATCTATTATTTTTTTTGTGATATTTTGTGACGGATCGAATAGTCGTAACAGTTGCAGTACTACTTATAGCTTTGAATCGCAGAGAACTGAGGAGCACTGCTACTGCGCGTGATATAAAATCCCGGAATTATTACTTAAGTACTAAACTCTATTATATAGGGAAGTCAATTATCTAAAGAATTCAAAAGCAGAATTGTAGTAACCCAAGTTTTATTTTAATATAGGGTTAAACGAAAAATCAATGAACAGTATAACAGTAAACCTAAGCAATTAGAGCCAGAATCACTAACAAAAACATAATTTAGTTTTTATCAATTATGCCAGCATTTAACTAACAAAAAAAAATGTTACAAGAGATTTAAAAATAACAGGATAGACAAGTGAAACTGACAAGTGACACTATTTCTAAAATTCAAGGATTAGTTTTAAGCAGCACTGACATGTTTAAGGTACTAGTTAATACAAAATTTTTTTTAGCCACTTGGCTAAAAAAAAACTAATTAAAGTGGACAAGTGAAAACAATAAGTATTTATAAGGGACATTGGTCCTATTTACACAACACAATTACACAGTAGCAAAGCAGTAAAACAAGTTACAAAGTAGGTACTTAACTTTTCCTGGTTCAGGGTTCGGCATTTTTTATAATGAGCCACCCCTTACATTCCTTTTTATACCCTTCAAAACCTCCTTTGAAAATTTACTCATACACACACTATTTTGGCCAATCACAAAACAGTAGTCGTTTATATTTGTACAGTGCTGAAGATAATTAAAAGGTTTACCTAATAAGTTGTTAAAACATATTTAAAGAATTGTAACTATTATATAAGCCTCGTAAATGTTTTAATTTAGCAAATATTATCAATTTTATGTACCAAAATATCAGCCAATCACAGAACAGTATTGTTTGACTCACTTGGTTGAACATTAATTTAAAATGTTATACATTACAAAGGTGTAAAGATAATCTTCGCGAATACTATAATTAGTATAATAATTATACAAGATTCGCAGTCGTCTAGTTTAGCTAATTATCATTAATTTTAGAAACCATAACATAATAGTCCATAAAAAGTTGATCGAAAACGGAACTTTTCAAAATGCAATTGTGAAATTGTTATAGGCAAATTGTGATGTATTATTTCAAACAGTCAATTAAAATTCAAATAAGAATTATGAAACCATAAAAATGAACGGATATTATGTATTTTATAGAATTAATGTTTTACAAAATCTGTTGCAAAGCAGACTGATTTACAGAGACATCTATATTTTTTACGAGGAACCAAGTGCCACCTTATAGATAAAGAATTAATGCCAAAATAAAAATGCTATCACGCGCGTGACCCTGATACGCAAAGTTGACTAGTCCCACGTGCCCGTAAATTCACCAACACCCATACATACCCTTCAGTAATGCTCACATTACTGCTTGGCGGCAGAAATAGATACAGTGGCAGTACTTCCCTGGACGAACTCTTTCACAAGGAACTCTACTGCTATATACTGTCCTTAGTTACTTGGCAGAAACCGCTTAAAGCGAAAAGACTGCCCATTGTATCACCGCTTATTTTTAATTTAATTGTATTGTATTTGTTTCCTTTTTTGGTGTTCAATAAAGAATTTTTGTATTGTATTGTCCTTATAATAGATTTGGGCGATACACTCACTCTCGTAACAAAAAATAATGTATTTTAATTATGACGAAAAAGTCATGTAGGTACTCTATTTACATCAAACATGCCAAATGTAGGTACTATAACCATTACGGTAGACGCAGCATAACACGAAAACCCTGCACAGAATTATTTTTAGTTACATATAACTCAATGATTGTTCAGAAATAATAACAAAACAGATACAATGTACACAGGTAAAATTTATATTAAAAAATGCTGATAAGTTTTATCTTGTTGCAGCGACAACTCAAGACAATGGCACAAGACAGAAGCAGACGTCGCATTGGCCCCCCAGTGGCGTCTGTCACCAACGCCCTCGCTCTACTCTTGATTATATGCTTGGTTGAGTGTGCGTCAGGTAAGTGTATAAATGCATACAAATGTTCCAGAATAGCAATTTTTAATGTGACTCACTACTATTACAAATAGAACCTCAAATATTACCTTGAGGTACGCCATGTTAGTGTAGTCCTGAAACAACACCGTGAGGTACTCTGTTTACTTTCGATTATTGTTACCTAACCTCATCGGTTCGTGAATCAAACTCTTGTCATTGTTTACGTTAAAATGTTTTTAATATTATTTTATTTAGCAGTATATCATGACATTTTGAAACTACGCTGCCCATAGAAATTTCTAAGTACAGACTCAAAATCTTTGTAGAATCTTACCAAGCACATAACTGCCTCCATCGCGAATAGTGACAATTATTGAAAAACAGGCGGGCACAACAAGAAGGATCATTTGCTATATAAATAGTAAATCGTATTGTAAATTTAAGAAAGATTACATTGATGAGCAGTACTGTGCGTAAGCTGCGCATTCTAAATGCTTGCTAAAATAATACGATTTTTAGTTAAGTTACAGCTGGAGAAAGGCCTTGTAATAAAACTTATACGAATAGATTTCTCTTCAAACATGTGTAACGTCCCTACACCGTGTTAGAACTACGGCTAAAACGCTCTTCTTATAGGAGAGTAGTAATACCGTCACTAAACGAAAATGTTACCTTTCGGGAAAGGCCAAACTTTTTAAATTCAAAATCGCGCGATTTTCGCTTTGTGACAGTATTGATTCCGTCGTGCAGATATAGATTGAAAACGACGATGTGATGACGTAAAAACCAAATACTGACGTTGCTTTGAGAAAGCACAATTTGAAAAATAAAAATAAATACTGAATGGGTTTTATTGCAAATAAAGTGATTACTTTTAACCGACTTCAAAAAAAGAGGAGTTCTCAATTCGACTGTATTTTTTTTGTATGTATATAAAGTGCACTCTACATTCTCGTCGACACTTCCCGGTCTCGGGTCTTGCCGAGACAGGACGAGACCGAGAGTGTCTCTCGACATTCTCGCCCGCACAGTTGTCCATTCGGTAGTCATACAAGATGGACGTGTTAGATACGTCTGTTGCTGCAGCATTATGTGCTATAGCATATTACAATTTTTTGTTAATTCGAGAAAAAAAACTTATTAAGAGACGTTGGAATAGACGCAGATGGTGGATGATATCAATACACCGCAACAGAAAACTGCGGTTACTGCCGGCGGACTGCCGTGACGACAATGTGGAGGAAAGAGTCTCGCGCAAACACAAAACTACACGAGAGCCCTTTGATTCGGATCCGAAATACCGACACGAAGTGGAGACCACACGAGCATAGGCGAGACTTAACGAATATGGTCACTACACACTCGTATTTGTCTGTTCTCGTGAAGTCTTGGCAAGAATGTGGACCGGGCTTTATGCAAGTACTCCGGCATTTGTGGACCGAATTTTTTTATTGGAAAGATTATACCTCGGTATTGGTCCCATTTAAATTTGAAGATATTATTATAATATTCTATCTCTAAGGGTGGCAAACTAGCGTATAAATTCGTTTCACGCACTTCCCGGTAACCGATTTCAATGAAATTTGGCAAATAGATGTAATTCCACGCGCTTTTGAGGTCGGTTTTTTTATATAAAAAAGTTGTAATTATTATTTGTGCACAGTACTTCATTGTCCATTTATAAAAGAGAAAATATGTATTGGTTACATTCTTTTTTCAATCCTGCTTTCTCAAATCCCCAATTTTGAGTTGCGACTGTATTTGGTTACGTGTGCGATGTATTTTAATACAACTTTTTATCAATATCTGCATAAACTTCTATCTAGAAATGTACCTATCCTTTAATCTTCCATTAATCTTCGTCTTTGTCTTATTTACAAAAAAAATCTAAAACACACGAAGTCAAATGTTATAACCGTACGTTACATATAAGCTCGGGGATATTAACATCAAAAGATTAAGTTTTGAAAGAAAAGCCATAAAGCAACAAAGAACAAACAACAAACAAAGACATAATCCCCGTTACCTAGACAAAAAGCTGTATTAAATTTTATCAAAGTGAATTAGATAATATCGAACATAACATCTTAAGATTATCCCCAAATCTCTAAACCCCATTTACTTTTGACAAATAGCTTAAACCCCGCAGTTGTCTTGTAGAAATAATGTGCGGTATTGTATTAGTCATGTTTACCACGCATTTATTATACAAACTACGTCTATGGGCGCCTTTCAAATTAGACGCTTACATAAGCGGCAGCAGCCGCGTCGCTACTAATTTTCATACAATATTACGGACGTCGCGACTCGCGCGCGCCTCTTTTGCAGTCACAACAATTGTGAAGTAAAACTTACGCGTAGCGCTTGTATTTAATATAATTTGAAGGAGCCCTACAAGTGTGTAGAAGTCAAGATTTTTTTTTTATTGCAAATGAGAATTCAATGACATTATTTGTTTAAAAAAATATACGAGTACTTTTTCACTTCATAAAATTGATTAATTTATTTTCAATTATAGCGCGTGAATGGGGTAGGTACAGGTACTTATTCAAGCCGAGAATACGAAATAATTGCTTGAATTGAACACATTGATTTTCTCTAAGAAAACTAGGATGTAACAAGTTTCTATACATAATTAATACAGCCAAAGGAATTGCAGTGGTTACTTATAGCTGAAACGCCCTAGGTAATAAACCATTAACAGTTTCGTCAGCCCTGCTAAGGCTCCGCGATAGTTTTTACCTAAGTGAAACAAACATACGGCAATGATAGCTGACTACGGTATATCATTGCAAATATTACATTTAAAACTAATAGTAATAATAATCAATGAATCAAAATGAATGAAAGAAAGCATCGTTTCAACGATGCTTTCTTTTAATTGTCATGCTGTCAAAAATAGTAACACACACACACACTCAACATAATAGAAGCCATAGGAGCGATGCCACATGCGTTGCGTCGGCCTAGTGAGCCGCAAATTCGGAACGGTGTGGTGATGCGTTCAAGGTTTGCGCGTACGTACATCGCGCGCAAACTTGTCTTGTGTTGTACACAACCAACACAAGACACACTGTACGTTCAAACCTTGAACGCCCTGTTGAACGCACCACCGTTGCAAATTTGTAGCCTGAGCAGTGACGTTGCCTCGTACTAAATACAAATTAGAACTACATACCACATGGTGCGTTATCAGATAAGGGACCTGGAGACAAAGCGGGAGGGGTGTTGCGGTGCGTATGTAAGCGGCGTTACGTTGCGGCAATGCAATGCTCGTGTGGCATTCGGTGCGTTGAAATCATAGCGTTGCGACAACGGATCGCAACGGCGACGCCCGTCTGGCAACGTTATTACAGCTTTTATTTTTGAAGACATGATAATTATGACAAACTTAGCATAATGTGTTTTTCTTCTACTTTGACAAAACCTTTTTTAGTTATGTGTTACAAGGGTTAATTAATAAACTCTACGAGGTATTGTTTGTTATTATTAATAAGTAAACTTCACTGTATAATGAAATAGGTGCCTTTAAAACTTATTATTTTAATGGAACTGCTAGTTTTGTCATAAAACAACTAATTTTTTCATTAATAATTCATTACATTAATATTAAGTTAATGAAATAAAGAGTAAATAAATTAACGAAGAATGAGCATTAGCACCTTAATCCAGGTACGCATTACGGGCGGCGTGTATGAAATTGTTTTAACACGGGCGGAACATTGTAATGATGATGTAGGTTGTTCTAAATAGAAAATATATTGTTATATTAAAAGAATATATTTTCTAATAAATTAGTTATGCTATATGAGTACCTGACTGGTGATGTCAAGCATGGTAAAGACATTTAAGGTGGACATTTCCTCTATTTTGTTTCATAACACATTAAGACGGTGTTATTGTTATCAACGAAGTGAAAAATCGAAAACAATGCTTTTTTGGCTTCTCTGAGCTTTTTTCCTGCCATCGGTTCGGGTTTAAGTTCCTAACTAAACTAACCCTAAATTTATAAAAACGACTATCTAGAATCACTTTTTAAGACTTTAATTTGACTGGTCTGTCAATTGCTTAAAAATTACCCATAATACTACAGTGAAATTATCTGAAGACGAAAAAGAAATTATTTTTCTAAAAACTGTACTCATGGACATGGGCTTTATTTACAGCAGTTTCATTATGTATAAACTTACTGTTACCTCTTAAAGTGGGTCAACTAAAGTTTCTTTTCGAATGTCATATTAAATATATGGGAGCGTTTAACGTTAAAATTTTGGATATTTCTAGTTTTATTTAAAAAAGAATATTGATGTTGTTTTACTCATCAGTAATGTACTTTCGATGTGCGGACAACGGCACATCAGACTGCACATTTTTGTTCGAAAATCGCCTCCAGTGCAACGGAACAAGATACGTCAATGTGTAGCTTGATGTGCTGGCGTGTGTACTAATATAATAATAATTTAAAAGCTTTTGATATCTCTTATATTTACTGAACAATCACCGGGGTTCACTTAACGATTACACCCTGTATAATTAAAACCTTCCTTGGTTCAATGATTCACAAGCGGATTTTTTTTAATTGATATCGATATATGATAAGTAAAAAATAGAGAAACTAGTTTCATTTCACAGTGGAAATTGTCATAATTGTTTTATTACCATTGAATTTGTATTGAATTGATATTCAATTATTTTTGTGAAATTACTCCACTAGTTTGTCAAACACTTAGAAAAAATCCTTCGATCGGGCCGGATTCGAACCGACGTTTTCTAGCAAACCATGCCAGACGCCATGCCAACTAAGCCATGGAATGAAACCAGCGGACCTCACGAATTTTTCTAAGTGTTTTGTATTTGGTTTTTTAACAACTTTTTTGGCCGTAGCGCCATCTGTGCGAAATTTATGAAAGTATTTCGTCACCCCGTTACGTAACTCTACAGCTACCAGCCCTGGCTTGAAGAACTAATGTATTATCGCCATAATATATATCTTTGCTAAGGAAAAGTGACCGTGACAATTC